GCAGAATTATCCTTTTATTAAAAAAAATATCGATTGAAAAACCATACACACACCCATTGAAGAAAACAAAACAGTACTGTGTCATTTGGTTGGCTTTATTTATCCCTGTTACTGGCTTGTTCGGCACCACAGCGTCCAATTGGCAGTCTGTGTATTATTTTTATTGCAAAATATATTCTCATGTCCCTATTGGTTTCCTTCTAATAGTACTAGTAATCTGATGGAGTTTGGCACAAGTCATCTGTTTCTCACCATGAACCTATTCACATTTACGTGGGGGAAACAAGAGAGGTGCCAGATTCTAGTGTAACGAGTAACCAAGATAGATAGAGAGAGAGAGAGAGAGGTATTGATTTGGTTGGTATGAATGACAAGACTGCAATGTTTCAAACATATAAAGCGAAACCTACAACTGCTCGTGTCACACAGTTAGTGCGTATTTGCTGTGACGGCCGTTCGAATTATTTATTTACAGAAATCAATTGGGTTCAACAGGAAGTTTGCAAAGGCTCTCTCTCTATTGACCGCTTCACATGACAGTCATATTTTAAATTGCTGTCCCAATCATAATGAGATGAGAGGTCCATCTGGAGAAAATGATCAGTAAATCATCGGTCGGTGTGTGTGCGTGAGGGTACGTGTGTGTATGTGTGTGTGTGTGAGAGAGAGGTGGGATACCAATTTTACCCATGAACCTACCCCGAGTTATTCGAACATATTACACTGGTTTCTCCCCCCTCCCATTCCCGCTTAACTTGACAATTTCAATCCACTGTCAAGAGAGTCGATTCAGCTGCGATTTAACACGGCAGAGAAGCGCCTGGTTGTAGGGGAACAAGTAAATCATTTCAGGTGACTTGACCCGAAAATAAATGCTTGTAGAAATGGAAACAATCGCTCACTATATTTTTTTCCCTCGATACACACACACATACACACACACACATATATATATCGCATACCTACAGTAAGCTGTCCAGAGCATTCCACATGGAGGGGTGAAACACTTTGATATATGATATCTCTATTTAAATACACACACACACGCACACACACACACATTTATATATTACTACATAGATATGTATCGTTTAAATACATGTCCATGTATTTCAATATGTGTGTGTGTGTGCATGTATGTGTGCGTGTGTTTAAATAGCGATGTGTCAAAGTGTTTTTCCCCCCAGTGAGGAATGCTATAGATACGGCTTGAAGTTTCGCAGTGTTTTTCCCCGCCGGCAGTAAGAGCAACACGACACTTAAAATCCCAGGAGGAATCTTGGCCGATGAAGGGAATGCAGCTGAGCCCCTGGATTGCACAGCACAATACAGTACAGTACTGCATTGACGTACAGTATTTGGTTTTATGTCGCCAGTCCTCGGGAAAGCAACATTTTACAAGTTTATTTTTACTGCAACGCCACGCATTGCTTCTCCCTTGGCCTCGTGGACGCCTATATTGAGGCTTTTGATCTCTGCAAACAAAACAAAAAGCAGATCTCCGCATACATAGAAACTCACCGTCCAAACGCAAGTAGCTAAGTATATCATGTCTTGTATCCGCCCCCAAGAGAAAAAACAAATTCCTGCCATACTTAACACGAAGTCGGGCCCTTTGATAGTGTCAGCAATAGGAAAATCCTTCCTACAGTACAGGGCAGTCCTCACAAACTCCACCGACCCCAAGAAGCGACCCCAAGATGTATTGCTGCTAACAAGATAATAACACCCCCCCCCCAAAAAAAAAAACCAATGGTCACTCAATCCACGACTGTTTGTGGGACACCTCTGTGTGCAATCGGCTCCTGCAGTTTCGCCCGCAAGAAAATGCGCAGTCAATGCATCTTTTGCAATATATTCTATCGAAGCGCTCGGAGACGTCTCGACTACGTGATAAGGCGCCGTGTGAAATGCAAGGAATATTAGTATTATTATTATTTTATTATGATTATGATTATTATTATCATCACCATCATGGGTGCGTGTCCGTTTGTGAGATGAAGCTGGTCAAGACTGTGCACCAGGAGTGAACCTCACCGAAACCGCACGACTGAAACCCTCAGACAAAGACAACTCGACAAATAAAACTCGCTCACCTGTTTAGACTGTGTGAAGGGACTTTTTTTTTTAGTCGTGTCGGGTGCCCGTGGCAGTTTCTGTCCTCCCCCGTGCAAGTGTGTGTGATTTTTTTTTAAGAAGAAGCAAAAAAAAAAAACATGAAATCTGCCCGCAAGTCAAACCCAACACATTTGTTAGGAATTCAGGGCTGTGGGAGAAGTGGTACTTTTCTTCGCGTAACGTATCCTCCCCGGTGTTTGGTTCACGCATTCCTATCATACCTTTGGATTTACACCACTTCCAATTCATTCGTGCTTCATATTTTTCATTTATTTGCTTACAATTGAGGGACGGTTTAAAACCTCGAAAAATGGATCTATCAGCGTTTACGTTGGTCACTTGGGCTCAAACCCTTTGCAGCCTTTTTTTTTACACACACACTCTGTAATCGTTAACATCTGTTGCTGGAAGGGGGGAAAAAAAGACCCTCATTGTGTTTGGAGAGACTGTCTCTCACGTCCAGGTTAATTGTATTTAATATTGCCCTCTCCCCCACACCGATGTCTCTGTCCAATTTAACACTGCCATTTATTTCCCAAACGAATTGTTTTTCTTCGAAAGAAAGGGGGGGGGGGGCAAAGATAAAAAAAAAAACGAAACTCTCAGGTCAAAACTGGGTCGTGAATAGAAGAGCAGCGTTTAGTGCAGTTTAAAAAAAAAGGGGGTCGATGAAATCGACGAATCCAAACGCCAAAAAACCCGTGTGATTCACGAACCTAAATGCCAAACATTTGTTAGCAGAAAGCAAAACCCATATATTGCGTTAATTTAGATTGGAAGTGGTGTGGGGCACTGAAGGAATTTTATTGTGCAGAGGCAGGTACCGTCGGGCTTTATTTTCCTGTTTGCATAGAATATATAGTTGACCATCAGAACTCCACACAGTCACCTCTGCCTCACGCCCTGTACATCCCATTGAAAGCCTTCACCCCCTTCATCCCTTTCACACACACACACACACACACACCTTCTCCAGCACTGAGAGTCTTAATCTTAAACAATCATCTGGATTGTTGCAGTTTAATTTTTTCCGTGGCTTCTCTCTCGGGCGACCGAGCTCTTGTTTCAGCTTTGAAACGGGACACCTGTGCAAACCGAGGTTTCCGACAGATTAAACAGGTTTCAGATCAGCTCTGTGCGCTCGAGTGAGTGAGCGAAAGTGTGTGAGAGTGACCAGGTGAGAGATAGTGTGGGAGCGAGTGCGTGGGAGAGGATGTTGGGAATGCCTGAACGTGTAAAGTTGTGTGAGAGACTCTGAGTGTAATAGAGAGAGAGAGAGAGAGAGAGGGGGGGAGTGAGTGAGAAAAGAGAAAGAGAGAGAGACGCTACTTACATTTGAGAGAGACTCTTCCAGTATTCACAAAAAAAAACCCAAATATTTGCCTGTTCACAGCCCACAAGGACAGAGGCAATCCCGAAGTGTGCAGAGTGGGGGGGTGGGTGGGGGTGGGTGGGGGGGGAGAGTAAAACAAAGAGAAAATAATTCAAAACTAGCGTGGAAACCTTGAACAACTCAGATCTCAAGAACGTTACCCCTAATTACAAATAAATCATCACCAGCCAAATAAGAAGTCCTTTCAAAAGATCCAGTGTGTGTGTGTGTGTGTGTGTAAAAAAAAACACAGCACTAAAAAGTGATTGACACGTGTCTTCCACTAAAACTTTAACGACGATTTAGGAAAATTTGGACTTTTTTTTAAATTTGGATTCTCTTGTGATTATTTCCCCCCAATCCCCACCCCCCCACCAACCAACCAACCACCTAAAACTAAAGACTTTTCTTCCCACATCAGAGCAGGGACTGCGATCCGGGCTCGAAATAATTCACCTTATTCCGACTGGGAGAGAAAGAGAGAGAGAGAGAGAGAGAGAGAGAAAAATCAATCACACTTTGAGAAGAAATATGTATACCTTAAAACGCGGAAGCAGACCTCAAACACATGGAAAATAATAAGAAAGAAAGCTGCCGATGAGGATATATATGTATATATTATAATATATGTAAATTATATACATATTATAATACATATATATTTATTATAATATATATACACACACACACTGAGCAAGAAATAAACTCTGAAAAATGTTCTGAAACTTCCTGTCTGGAAAATCAGCTGACCGCTGTGTCATTAGTTCATCTCATTTTTTTTTACTCTTTAATCTTCACTTACTCATTCACTCACTCCCAACTTTCATCTTCAAAGAGGCTGGTGGTTCTAGTTGTCGAGAGAGAGAGGAGGGGGGGGGGGGGGAGAGAGAGAGAGAGAGAGATTGAGAGAGTGGTGAGAGGGAGAAAGAGAAAGAGAGTGTGAGAGGGGAGGGGGTGGTGGTGGTGAACGAGAGAGGGCGTGAGGGAGAGGGAGAGAAAGGGGGAGAAGGAGGAAGAGAGAGAGAAAGAGGGAGGGAGAGAGAGAGAGAGAGAGAGAGAGAGAAAACACACTAAGAGCTCCCAGGACGATCAGGAACAACGCCAGATCTGGAATAACAGCAGAAAGTTTTGTGTGTGTGTGTGTGTGAGGAGGGAGGGAGTTGAGGAGGGAGTTGAGGAGGGAGTTGAGGAGGGAGGGAGTTAAGGAGGGAGTTGAGGAGGGAGTTGAAGAGGGGGGAGTTGAGGAGGGAGGGAGTTGAGGAGGGAGGGAGGCAGTTGAGGAGGGAGGGAGTTGAGGAGGGAGGGAGGGAAAGAGTTGAGGAGGGGGGGAGGGAGTTGAGGAGGGAGGGAGTTGAGGAGGGAGGGAGGCAGTTGAGGAGGGAGGGAGGCAGTTGAGGAGGGAGGGAGGCAGTTGAGGAGGGAGGGAGTTGAGGAGGGAGGGAGGGAGGGAAAGAGTTGAGGAGGGGGGGAGGGAGTTGAGGAGGGAGGAAGGGAGTTGAGGAGGGAGGGAGTTGAGGAGGGAGGGAGGGAGTTGAGGAGGGAGGGAGGGAGTTGAGGAGAGAGGTAAAAAGTTCGAGTCAAGTCAATCTGGAGAGGGGGAGAGGGTTGGGGGTGGGTTTGGGGGGAGCTGTTGCAATGCAAATTCCAACGCCCCAGTGCGTGCTGCTCAGCCCCCCCGGGGCGAGGACATCTCCCCTGGCGGCGGCGGTGGGGGGGAGAGGGTATCCCTCCAGGAGGTCCTCTTTCGACGTGGAATCGCTCCTCTCCAAAGCCTCCGAGTGGAGCCGCCGGGCCGAGCCGGGCCACCGCGGGGCGTGGGTCTCCAGCAGCGCCCCGGAGAGCCCGGGTCAGCCCAGGTGGGCGCACAGCGATTACTGGGGGTCTCTGCAAGTCCTCATCCAACCGGCCGCTTGCTTCCCGTTACTGAGATACAGCGGACAGTCCCCGGGACACGGCTACAGCGCTTTCCCTTCGGTTTGCTGCGACGATTCGTGCACAGAAGGTACGACCACCCGCAGCACTCGATGCGTTTTTTTTCTTCTGTTGTTAATTGCTGTTGTTTTATAAAGGACGTGGATGGATTTCGCTAAATCTGAACACAATCTTTTTTTTTGGGGGGGTGGGGGTGTTAAGAGAGAGAGAGAGAGAGAGAGAGAGGTGAATTGTACCTATAAGGTAACTATATATACCTATAAACGCGATAAGGCGCTATGTCAAATGCAAAGATTATTATTATTATTATTATTATTATTATTATTATTATTATTATTACCCTATTTATTGCAACATCTTAGAACGGCCCAGACAACAACAACAAAAAAAAACAACGATTGCGAAATGCGCCCCATTTTTGGCCGAACGAAACCGTCACCATTCGAAAAAGCTCTGTCAAAGTCACCGCTTCGTTGTCGGACGAAAATAATAACGTTTGCATTTGGGTTACACACTGGCGACTCGCACCTCAGGAGGACGTCCCGAAGCGCTTCACCAAATGTGCTGTCAAGTGCTAGTGTGGCTGTGCGTTTAGGAGATTAAATGTAGATTATGGGTGTGTGTGGTTGTGTATATATATATATATATTGGATTATCTAAATGGGTAACTTGTTGATCGAGCTTTGGGGCAAAGGTCCAATTGGATCCATGTCTTTCAAGAAGAGTTGACCAGACTTTTTGGTCGTTTTCCTGGTGTGTGTGTGTGTAAATATAATCCTGTGTGTGCTATGTGTGTGTGTGTGTGTGTGTAGGGGAATGGGCCTTTCGCTCCAACACTCTGCCCAACAAGTCAAAAACTAGACCCAAGCGAGTGAGGACCACCTTCACACAGGAGCAGGTGGGTCGGTTGGAGGAGGAATTCGGCAGACAACAGTACATGGTTGGAGCGGAGAGATTCCTACTGGCTACTGCCCTGCACCTGACAGAAACACAGGTGAGCATTCCTGGTGTCAACATTAAGACACCCGCCCCCACCTACACACACACACACCCACACCACCCACACGCACACTCACACACACACACCACACACACACTCACACACACCCACACCACCCACACACACACTCACACACACACACACACTCACACACACACACCACACACACCCACACCACCCACACACACACACACACACCACACACACCCACACTACCCACACACACACTCACACACACACACCACACACACACTCACACACACACACCACACACACCCACACCACCCACACACACACTCACACACACACACCACACACACACTCACACACACCACACACACACTCAACGATGACTCCTTCCATTATCATTATCTTTCATTATCTTCTCAGCTCTCCATCTCAGTCCACCAATTAATTGCAAGAATTTTTCTTGGATGCCAAGGTCCCCCCCCCTCCCCCCCCACCCCCATCCCCCCACTCCCACCCCCGTGGCCTTCCCACTCAAGACATGTGATGGTCTGCAATTGTTTTTTTTTGGTTTGTTTGTGTTGTGTTGTCTATTTGTTTGTTTGTTTGTTTGTTTGTTTGGTTCAGGTTAAAGTGTGGTTTCAGAACAGGCGGATCAAGTGGAGAAAACGCCACGTGGAGCCAAACCATTCGGGGTTTTCAACGGAGAATTTATCGTCGCTCCTCGCCGACCCCCCGAAACACTCACGCAACACGCACCACGCACCGAGGACCCCGCAACCCCGAGAGCCGCAGCGAATAGAAACGTCGTACTAACGCGCTCCGTGAAAGGGGAAGAAGCCCTGTTTTTTTTTAACACTGAAAAGTCAACACACGGGATGGTTTATGAGTGTTTTCCAGTCTCGATGTGGGCGTATGTATTGTATGTATATGTATATGTGTGTGTGTGTGTGTGTGTGCGTTCAAACTAACACACACTCACACAAGTTCGCCACGTTATTTTTTTTTCTGATGCAGTGGACTGAGGAAGAGTGACATATTCCATCCGTTTTCAGCCACACAAAAAAAGCGAGAAACCCTTTTAAACTCATGTCCCCAAATAGAGACCGAGTGGGTTAAATAGCAGAAGTGAACCGTCGCGTAAATAGGGGGAAAAACAACAGCCATCGACGTTGCTCAGGCCATTAAATACCAGGTCTGCTTGACATCAATGGTTTGTCATGAATAACCTGCTTCAAATATATTTGGCTTTGATAATAGATGTGCGGTCTTAGTTTGAAATTATTTTACAGGGATTTTTTTTTTGTGTGTATGTGTGGGGGGAGGGGGCAAGAGGAAGGTCGGACTCTCTCCCTGGGTAGGGAATGTCTCAAGAGACTCACAGGTCAATGTCAGTGTCTCATTCTCTGAGTCTCTTAACAAGTGTATTATGTCCAATACTCATTCATTTCAAGGAGGGGGGGAATTAGTGTGTGGGGTGGGTGGGGTGGGGGGGGGGGGGGGGTTAGTCCTTTTCTGCTTTCTCCTTCTCAAGACTTTTCAAATTTGTTGTGGGGGGAGAAACAAAATCATTGGCATATTGCATATTGGTCGCACTTCACCTCTGGTTTCTGTTCAGGAATGTTTTCGTAACTACCAATTCTGCAGGAAAACCAAATTGCATCTGTTCTGCTGTGTGTGTGTGTGTGTGTGTGTGTGTGTGTGTGAGTGTGTATGTGGTGGTGGTGGTGAGAGAGAGAGAGAGAGAGAGCTACAACTAAAGCTATTAAGGTTACTTTTGACACCCAAAAAGGTCCCCCCAAAAAAACCAATCCGATTCCAAATGATCGTGTTTTGTCAACTTCATCTAATTTCAGGCCAACTCTCCACCTCGGCCACTGGGATTTATTTACAGGTTACAATGCAGCTGCAAGTAACAAACCCAACTGTAATAATAGCTGAGTCTAAGTGTTAATCGTTTCGATAGCCATTAAAATGTCTTGCAGGGTTTTACAAACGGCCGCTCGGGAAAAAAAATTGGGTGCGAATAATAAATATCTCCTCGCATTTTGGCTCAAAGAGCTTCGCCGGATCCTTCGCACAGGGTTTGCCCACAAAGGTCATTCCCCCCCCCCACCCCCCACCCCCCAATGTACCGCACTGACCAAAAACTGAACCCTGAGTGAGAATGATGATCATTGTATTTAGAAGTGCTTAAGTGTATTGAGTGCAACTGTTGAACCGTATTTGGATATCCAGAGGATCAGTGTGTGTGTGAGTGTGTGTGAGTGTGTGTGTGTTTGAGTGTGTGTGAGTGTGTGTGTGTGTGTGAGTGTGTGTGTGTGTGTTTGAGTGTGTGTGTGTGTGTGAGTGTGTGTGTGAGTGTGTGTGAGTGTGTGTGAGAGCCCCATCATTTCCATGGCAGATAACGATCAATCGCTATTTCGATGGGACATCTTCCATAACATGGACGGAGTGGCCTCTGCCTACACAAAACAAAGTCACTACACTTAACCACAAGTTCCCCGTAGAAAGGCGTTAGGTCCAATGCAAAAGGATGACCTAACTGCAGCTCTGGATCACTGACTGACTTGGACTATTGACGCGCAATACCCCGAATCTGCACCTAAATGTCATTTTATTCGTGGCTTCAGCGTAAAAATCTGATTTCGTTGAGAATCGGTGGAAGAGACAAACGGTCGACTGTTAAGTACGAGCGCCGTCCCAATGCGGTTGAGTGGGCAAAAAAAAAAAAAATCTACCCTTTTGCGTTGACGGGAAAAAAAAGTAACTTTTTAAAAAAAGAAGAGACTCTTTAATGATCTGCATTTTTCTCTAATGATGTACAGCCATAGATTGCATCATGTGGATTTTTAAAGAGCATTTGGAATCTGCCCTCTAATGAAGATGCTATTTTTCTCCCTGTACTATTATTTCGGATTTGTTACAGTTCCCTTATGCAGAACCAATTCGAAACTATTCGTTACGGGGATTAATTAGGAGGAGATCAGATAATCTTATCTGAAAGTTTGAGTCGTGTGTGTGTGTGTTTGGGTATATCTACACACGAGTAAAAGACCTTTTAATTGGGACACCGCGCGTTATCTCACAGACAGAAGCTTTTTTTATTCTCACTGAGGCTGAATTGCATTTCACGTCTCTTTCTCCTGACTCAAATCAAATTAAAAAGCAGGTCAGGGAAGAATTAAGGTTTTTTTTTAACCGCTAAACTTTCTTCTACCGAGTTAAAACCTCCAGGGCAAGTCTGCAGTCCCTTTAGAAAAGATGTCACAAAGTCCAAGGTATATATATATATATATATATATATACATGTGTGTGTATGTATGGGTCGAGTTAATGTCAATGTGAACCCAATTTTGCACATTTCTTCCAATATTTGCAAATCGTCGCAACCACCGTTAAGGCGAGACTGTGTTCTGCTTCTGTTTATATAAAAAAAAGATCGTATCACCTTTACAAATCAGATCGCTTTCTTTGCTGGAGGCTTGATATCCAGATTGACTGAGGATAAACATCCCATTGCCTTGATTCATCTCAAAGCTTCTCCACCACTGGGTGTCACTCGGTCTGGGGTCAGAGAGAATAACAGAGAGACAGAGAGAGACAGAGAGAGAGAGAGAGAGCATTGATAGGGAGTCGGTCCATTCCTGATCCGAATTTAGTTGCTTAACGTTTACACTGAAATCCTTTGTAGCCTATATATCCGCAACGAAATTAACGAACTCTTAACAGGATTTTCCGTGTCTTTGGCCATTATTCAAGACTTAAAACGGGACGGGATATAAAACTAATTCCTGTTTCGAGAGAGAGAGAGAGAGAGAGAGAGAGAGAAGAAATTAGCATAAAAATCATGGAAGGCAGAGAGGGGTTTAAAATGGAAATAACGTTTGGAAAACGCAGATAAACCTCTTTTTTTATTTAGAAGGACCATTTTGCTAGACGAGAAAAATCGCGGATTTGCATAATGAAATGATTTGCATTTGTATCATTTGTGCAAAAAAACACAAATGGAAAGTTTTTATTTATTCGAACACCATGAAATCAACAAAAAGTGAACAAAAATACAAAAACTCGGAAACAGCTATATATATAGTATATACAGAGTGATCAAAAACTTGTGATATCCACACAATTCACTTAAAAAAAATCATAATTTCTTTAAGACTTATTAGACAATGTAATGGTATCATGACTTTTTAGTCACCCCCATATATATATATATCGAATCACCCAAATCGCCACACAACTTAGTAGGAGTGAATTATATATTGTTGTATATATATATATATATTCAGTATATTACAATTATAAATGCACTGTCTGTGAGGCTGGGGGTTGGGGGGTGACAAATTGGCTGAGGTGGTTACTAATTAGCTGAAAAGATAAAGTTCTGGAAAGCATCGATTCTCATATACGCTTTTTTTAAAAAAAACAGTGAAAGAACAAAGTACTTGTACCTGCAATAATATGGGCTATTGACATCCAAACGAAACACGTTAAGAGTGACTCCAATAAAGGGATCATTTTCTTCCTGAAATCCTAACTGATCATGAGTCTGGGGGGGTTAGATTTGCCTGTGTTTAATGGACTGACCGTCTCCAGCTCAGAGCCATATCGATGCAATGAAATGATTATTTTGCAACCTGGAAACTACATTTCAAGACCGTACAGAGTTTGCTGAGAGAAAAAAATCCTAGTAGAAATGGCCATCGTCTAGTTCGTTGCGGTTATTTTCACGCCCCAAACGATTTCAGTGTTTTTTTGACCCCCACTATCTTTCAAAAGAATGTGTGGCATGATGTTGACAGACTATTATTCATTGACCCTGATACCTGCAAGTCGAAATGCAAAAATCGTCTCACCACTTAGTAGGAGTGAATTCACGCTCAACTAAATCCACCCATAAAGCATTCATTAAAAAAATTATTATTAAATAATAATAATTTGGTCACTCAGTCCACTGTTTGTGGGGACGCTGCTGTGCGCAATTGGCTACCGCGTTTGGCCCACAAAAATATACAGTCAATTCACTTTACAGTATTCTATTGTAAAGCTATCCTGTGAAACGGTGAAGCGCCTTGAAATGTCTCAATGACTTGATAAGGCGCTATGTCAAATATAAAGATTATATATTATTATTAATTGGGAGTCGATTGCTTTCAATGACTGTGTAACATATTTAATAATCATCTTTTGTGATTAGCACGTGGCATTTGTGAGTTGAAAGCAGTGAAGTTTAGAATAAAATTCTGCATTTTCACTCCGTTACGGTCTTATTGCAATGTCGTTGATGTGAAAGGCGCTTACAAATGTAATTTTGCATTGTATTTTGTATTGTTTATCATTTTTAACATTAATTTCAGACCTATCTTTTTGATGGTGCTTTCGGGTCACCTCCCCATCTCCCAACATATTTATAATAATCCTCGCATTTGATATAGCATCTTTTCATGTCGTTAATATGTATATCATTTTGGATTGTATTGTTAAGATGTATGAAAGTGCTTCACAGAATATATTGTAAAGTGGATTGACTGTGTATTTTGTGGGTGCCACACGGAAGCCAATTGCGCACAGCAGTGTCCCACAGACTGTCATGGATTTTTTTTATTTCCAAAGTGAAAGGTGCTACATCAATGTCATTTTTTTTAATTTTGATCAGCCGGGTGTCTGACACACATTATAATTTGTGTCAAAAAATGTGCAATGGAACTGCATTAAAAAATCAACTCTTAAAAAATGGGATTACAATTGGTCAAAACTAAAAATTCTATAATGGACATTCATCTTCAAAATCAATTACAAACAGAGGTTATATTCCCTGGAACCCATTTAACGAAGGGGTAGACTGATTTTTATGAAAAAAAAGTGTTTCTGAACATTATAATAAATAAAAAGATTTCTTGCATTAGATATAGCGCCTTATCACATCTTCGATACGTCGCAAAGCGCTTCACAGAATATACTGTAAAG